GCCTGCGGTGTTTATTAAAATCAATTCATTGGGTTGCTGTGGTATAATAAAAGATAAATATTTGGTCTTTGTGCCTGACTCCTGGCACAGAGCTCCTTAAAGCCTTGGAATCTCTTGAAATGTCTTCTGTATGCCAATGAGATGACTCCTGAGGGGTGCGGGGCACCTTCAGGGTAGAGGACTGGTTGACAGAAACACACAGCCCGATTGGAGGGTTGGAACTTTCTGCCCCACCCCCAGACCTCTAACAAGGGGAGAGGGGCTGGAGGTTGAGCTCAGTCACCAGTGGCCAATGTTTAACCAGTTGTGCCCATGTAATGAAATGTCTATAAAGCCCTGAATGAAGGGGTTTATGGAGCTTCTGGGTTGGTGAACACAGCGAGGTGCTGGGAGGGTGGCACGCCTGGAGAGGGCATGGAAGCTCCGCCCCCCTCCTCGGCCTCTGGATCTGTTCCATCTGGCTGTTCTGAGTTGTATTCTTTACAATAACCCGCAATAAATGTAAGTAAAGTGTTTTCCTGAGTTTGGTGAGTTGTAGTGAGTTACCAAACCTGAGGAGGGGTTGTGGGAACCCCTGATTTGTAGCTGGCTGGTCAGAAGTAGAGGTGCCCTGGTCCTGAAGTGGGGGGCCCCAGTCCTGGGGCACGGAGGCCTTAACCCGTGGGGTCTGTGCCTTCACCAGGAGCTGGAGTCAGAAGTGAACTGAACTGCTGGACAGCAGCTGGTATCAGAGAATCAGTCCTGGAGAAGTGAAAATCTTCATTTTAAAAGAAGTTTTTAGAGCAGAATAAGATTATTTTGGGGTGCATCACATGTATGGCAAAGTGTGGTTTTGTGCAATTGTTGTTTTAGCGGTGCGTGTGCATGTACTGTACATATGTACTAGCCTTATTTCTAGCTAAGTCTCTTTTATGTTCTTCTTTCTCCTGCCCCCATAGCCTCACTCACTCTTTTTTTTTAGATTGGCACCTGAGCTAACATCTGTTGCCAATCTTTTTTTTTTCTTCTTCTTCTTCTCCCCAAAGCCCCCCAACCCCAGTATATAGTACTGTGCATGTGCTGTGTTGTGATATAAAATGTATTTCTTACTGGTGATCCTGGATCCCCAAAAACAAATCCCCAAACCAATGATATTCACCAAGCTGAGCTTCCAGTCTCCTTGCCTGTCTGGGGAGCCCAAACGTGCACGTGTGGAAACTTACTGGGCAGTGAGAGGACAAGTGCCATCTGCAGCCAGGGTCAAGCACAGCTTTTACTGAGGGGCGGGCATAAGCTTGTCAGTCAAGGAGAAGGAGTTCAGTGAAGGGAGGGGGAGAGAGAGAGAAGGAAGAGAATGAGCACGAATACATCACGGAGAGAAACTGTTGGGCCCAAAGATGTGGTAAGGTCGGGAGAGCCCCCGGGGAGCAGGCAGGCTGTGGGGGAAGCAGGTTAGCACTCTGCTCACTGGAGGAAGGGTGAACAGGTGGTGAGCAGAGCAGGGCAATGACAGGTGGCTGGATTTTCATCGGCTGAGGAGGGGGGTGGTCAGGCACCATCTCTTGGGCTGGCTGGCGCTCTTGGCTGATGAACATCAGGTGTTGGTTCCTGGAAATGTGCTCGGCAAGGCCTGGCTCAGTACTTGGTTGTTAATGCCGCTGTGATTTTTGCAGTCATTCCTAATCTGTAAAATGCGGGAGCACCTGTAAGCTCTTCTAGTGCATGTCAAAACCACCACTGGAGAACTGCGGTCACGGTTGTCCCTTCATGTTCCTTTCCAATGCTCTGTCTTGTGGATGGGCCACATTTTGTGTCTCCGTTTGCCAGTTAGTGGATATCAGGTTGTTTCCACTTGTTAGCTATTATGAATAATGTTACTATAATAAACATTCACATACATGTCTTTGGACCTATGTTTTCATTTCTCTCATATAGATTCCTAGGAATGGGTGTACTCAGTTGTATGGTAAGTTTATGTGTAACATTTTTAGCAACTAGATGTTTTTCAAACCGGCTGTGCCATTTCCATTCAGCAGTGGATGAGGGTTCCAGTTTCTCTACATCCTCACTAACACTTGTTATTGTTTGTCTTTTTTATTATCGCCAACCTAGCAGGTGTGTGTTGGTATCTCATTATGGTTTCAATTTGCATTTCCCTGTTGACTAATGAAATTGAGCATCTTTTCATGTGTTTATTAGCCATTTAGACATCTTCTTAAGTAAAATCTCTATTCAAATCTTTTGCCCATTTTTTAAAATTGTGTTCTTTTAATTATTTAATTAATAGAACTCTTTATATGTTCTAGATACAAATTCTTTTTTTTGAGGAAGATTAGCCCTGAGCTAACATCTGCTGCCAATCCTCCTCTTTTTGCTGAGGAAGACTGGCCCTGAGCTAACATTCATGCCCATTTTCCTCTACTTTATATGTGGGACACCTACCACAGCATGGCTTGCCAAGTAGTGCCATGTCTGCACCCGGGATCTGAACTGGCAAACCCCAGGCCACCAAAGCGGAACGTATGCACTTAACTGCTGTGCCACTGGGCTGGCCCCACAAATTCTTTATCAGATATTTAATTGGCAAATATTTTCTCCCAGTCTGTGGCTTGTCTTCATTTTTTTAATGGTGTCTTCTGAAGCACAGAAGTATTTAAATTTAATAGAGTCCAGTTTATCAGTTTCTTCTTTTGTAGTTTGTGTTTTTGGTGTATCGCTAAGAATGCCCAACCCAAGGTCATGAAGACTTTCTTCTATGTTTTCTTCTAGATGTCTTAGAGTTTTACCTCTTATATTGAGGTCTCTGATGCATTTTGACATAATATTTGTGAGCAGTATGAGATTTAAATTGAGGGTTGTTTTTTGCCTATTATGCAGAAAAGAGCCGTCACAGCAGGCCTGAGACCGCTATCCTTAGAAAGCCCTGCTCACAAGGCTGGCCCTTGCCTGGTGTCAGGAAACTTAAATTTCAGAAGAGTCCCACCATCGTTTGTGCAACAGTGCGGTTTATGCCGCACCCCTGCCTTCCTTCTGGGAGTCTGGAGCCTTGAAGCATGTTAGGCAGAGGTGCCTACCTGACCAGCCCCCAGTAAAAACCCTGGGCCTTATGTCCCTCATGAGCTTCCCTGGTGGACAGCATTTCACACATGCTGTCACAAGTCTTTCCTGGAGGAATTGAGCTGTCCTGTGTGCCTCCCCTGAGAGAGGGGACTCTTAGCAGCCTGCACCTGGTTTCCTCTGGACCTCACCCGTGCACCTTCCCTCTGCTGATTTTGCTTTGTGTCCCTTTGCTGTAATAAATCAGAGCCCTGAGGACAACTATATGCTGAGTCCTGTGAGTCCTCCTAGTGGATCCCTGAACCTGAGGTGGTCTTGGGAACACTGACATCCTGTCCATGTCCAGTTGCTTCAGCGCCATTTGTCAGAAAGACTGTCTCTTCCCCCTTGAATCATCTTTTCACCTTTGTCAAAATCAGTTGACCACAAATGTAGGGATTTATTTCTGGATTCCTTTCTGTTCCATTGCCTGTCCTTATGCAATACCACGTTGTCTTGGTTTTTAAATCGGATAGCATAAATCCTCCAACTTTGTTCTTTTTTTTCAAAATTACTTGGTTATTGTAAGTCCTTTGCATTTCCATATAAATTTTAGGGTCAGCTTGTCAATTTCTACCAAAAAGCTTATTAGAGTTTTGATTGGAATTGCATTGAATCGATAGGTCAACTGGGGAGAATTGACATCTCAACAATGACCTCTTGAATCTTCCGATACATAGACATGGAATGTCTCCCCATTTACTATCTCAGCAGTTTCGTAGTTTTCAGTGTACAAGTCTTCTTTTGTTGAATTTATTCCTAAGTTTTAATTCTTTTTGGTGCTATTGTGAATGAAATTGTTTTCTTAACTTCATTTTAAGATTGTTTTTTGCTAGTTATAGAAATAAAACTGATTTTTGTATATTGACTTGTATCCTGTGACCTTGCTAAATTTATTAGTTCTAGTATTTGTTTTGTGGACGCCTTGGGATTTTCTACAAAGGAGATAATGTCATCTGTGAATAAAGATAATTTTACTTCTTCCTTTCCAATCTGGAGACCTTTAATTTCTTTGTTTACCATATTGCCACTGGCTTCAACCTCCAGCACAGAGTTGATTGGAAGTGGCAAAAGTGGATGTCTGCCTTGTTCCTGATCATAAGGGGGAAAGCATCATTCTTTCACCATTAAGTGTGATGTTAGCTGTGGGTTTTCATAAATGCCTTTTATCAAGTTTTGTAAAAGGTGTTTTGAAGTTTTGCAAATTCTCTCTTATTCCTAGTTTGTTGAGAATTTTTACCAAGCATCTGTGTTGGACTTTATCACATGCTTTTTTCCTGCATTTATTGAGATGACCATGTACTTTTTGTTCTTAATTGTATTAATATAGTATGTTACATTAATTGATTTTCAGATGTTAAACCAACCTTGCATTCCTGGGATAAATCCCACTTGATCATGATGTATAATTCTTTTTATATGTTACTAGGTTTGGGTTGCTAATAGTTTGTTGAGGATTTTTGCATATATATTCATGAAGGATGCGGGTCTGTTGTTTGTTTTCTTGTGCTGTCTTTCTTTGGTTTTGGATTAGGGTGCTACTATCTTCATAGAATGAGCTGGGAAGTGTTACCTCCTCTTCTATTTTCTAACCCATTTCTTTATAAGGGGATAATTTATGGTCTTTTATGGGTGGCTGGGAGCAGTTCTCTTTTTTCTTCTCAAGGCTAATTCTTTGCAAGCATATTTTAGGGTTCGTGTGTGACAACTTGGTCTCATTGGCTATGTCCCAGCTCCATTTGCTGGCAGGTATGGCTCAAGATGGGGCAGGTACCCAGCATCTCTGAGACTCCTTATCTGATCACATCTGGCACTCACATCTGAAGTGGACCCTCAGAGCTTCCCTGTGGGGATGGGGGCATCTGCTCACCCGGCAGCTGGGGTGCTTGGCTGAGGGTGCCTCTCTTCCCCCTCTCTTTTAACAGGGCAGCCACAAACCCCAAGGTACGGGAGCAAGTGCGCCTGGAACTGAGCTTCGTGAACTCAGACCTGCAGATGCTCAAGGAAGAGCTGGAGGGGCTCAACATCTCCGTGGGCGTCTATCAGAGCACAGAGTGAGTGGAGACAGTGCTTCTTCCAGAGATTTTCTGGGCTTTGGAATGTGCCCACCTCAGGGATGGTGCACAGATAGACTCCACTTTGGAAAGTGAGGGAATGATCGGTGTGGGATTGACCAAGGTGCGAGAGTTAAGGGGATGAGCCCGTGGAGTTTGTTGGGAATACCTGGAGAGTTGACCAAAAAGGCATTTGTTTGTCCTGGGACCCCTTGGGACATGGTTTTACAGGAGAGCTGCTGGCTGGGTCCAGTGGGGAGATGGCATCTCTCACGTTGCCTGGCGGTGGCTCTGCCATAAAGGTGCCCTGGAAGCACTTCTGTGGTTTGCCATGAGGGCCGACCTGCCGGGTGGGGCCCACGGTGCCCTGCCCTCTTGCCTCCCAGCCTCATCACCGAGCACAGGGCCTGCCCTGGGTCGTTCTGTTGATAGAATGCCAAAACGTATAAACTGCCTTTTACATCAAAGATTATGAGGCATTTGTGAGTTCTGCAAGGAGATAGTGTAACTGAGACACTTTGGAAATGTACCCTGGTAAATATCTGAGCGATGAATGTGCTGATTCAGAGGCATTCCTTAGGGAGTGTCGGTGGGAGGTGAAATATTGAGGTGTGGCCTCCAGAACAGCTCAGAAAGTCTCCCGCCCCAAGGTGAGCTGCCTTTGAAAAAAACGTCCGTCTTTAAGAAGAAATGGCTTTGAGAAGCTCTGCAGAGCAGTTTCCCTGCTATTCTGTACGGGGAAGTGAGACGTCTCAAAAGGCTGGGGAGCCAGGGAGAAACTCAGTCAGAAAACACTTCCTGATTTAACAGAAGGACGACATTTGGGAGCCTTGAGTCAGCTTTGGAATGTCTTTTCCTGATTGTCCCCAACCCTCTGCCCAGCGCCTGGGGTGTTTTTCAGAGCTGGAGGGAAAGTCTCAGTGCGTGAAACCTCTGCCCCTCCGCTGGGGCGTCCGTGGGCCCGGGCCGGCTTACCCCTGGCTCCTCTTGCAGTTTCAAACATCTAGTCAGAACAGCAGCTGGAAGGCTTCTCCCAGTCTGCACTGTGCTTTTAAATTCCAATGTTTTGCCCAATAGGTCAAAGTTCCTTGAGGAGGCGAAACAGGGCCAAACTTTGGTGATAAACGTAGGATGTTTCATGGTCCCACTTGCTGTTCTGAAGTGCAGGCACATCCATCGGGAGGGCGTCCCACAGAGACATGCAGTCAAGGCCCCTGTGTGACCACGGTGTGGCTCTGAAGTGGCCAGGCCGTCCCCCGTGCCGCTGGGAAGGCGGGGGAGCTGTGCAGGTTCATAATGACACCTCACATGGCATCGCCTCTCTTTTCTGTTTTCAAAGCAGATTGTTTCTTTCTTAGCACAGTTGATCTTTAAACAGTTCCGGGAGGAAGGCAGGGAAGAAACTGTCTCCTCGTGCAGACGAGAAAACACAGGGAGGCCGGGGGTCACGGAGAAAGTTACGTTCGCGCAGAATTGGGGCTGGGGTGCCCTGGCAGGGGGACTCCGGATGCTCGCTGCTCCTGGGCAGTCATGGGAAGAGCAGGGCTTGCCCCCAGCCCGGTGTGGGGGGAGGATAGGAGGTCGCTGGGCCCAGAGGGGTGGGGTGGATGGTCCTCGTCCCCTTCCAGCTGGGTCCAGCTCCCCCCATGGTCTTGGGGGAAGCCACACGCCAGCTGGGTGTCGCCTGCTTTCAGCTGGGCCCTGTTGTGTTCCGCCCGGCACAGGGGCAGTTTCAGCTTACAGCAGTATTGTCCCCTCACGCTGCCCAGCAGTCCTGACCTCCCCCGGGCTAGGCTCAGGAGCCCCACGAGGTCTCCTGTTACAGGTCAGGGAGCTAAATCCCTGTTTGCAAAACACCGCTGGAGCTGGTTCACTTCCTGTTGGCCCTGCGGCTAAGAACGGAGGCTCGGGAGCACCCCCAGGGCCACCTATGGGGTAACCAGAGGGTCGGTGGGGAGAGGAGGTAGCAGGGAAGTGGTGGGTCAGGGCCTGACTTAGGGCTGGAGCAACGGCACGCTTAGTGGCCGATGGGACCCCTGCCCTCAAGGCCTTCTCTGTGCAGGCGATGAGTCATCTAGAGGGACACGCCCCAGAGGAGGAGGCTGCTGAGAGCCCAGGGCTGGAGGGCTGCGGTAGCGGGGCACCCACTGCGGTGGGCGGCGGGGGGGGGGGGGGACGGGACGGGGGGCATTGGGGCTTGATAACAAAGGTCCAGTGGCAGGATGGTAGGCCCAGGTGGGGCAGCAGTGAGCACAGCAGGGGCAAGCCTATACTCCATAGAGTCCCAGCACAGTGACTGAGAGAAGGGCTGAGGCTGGAGGCTACAGCGGGGTGGAGATGGTAGGCACCTCAGTGTTAGGCTGGATGGTCCACAGGTCGCGGGGACCAAGCCCAGTGTTAGAACAGAGACAGGGATGCAACCCAAATCGTCTTTCTGGAAAATAAACTGACATGTGCTAGATTGGCCTGAGGAGAGGGGTGCTGGGGGAAGGCTGTGGGTGCAGAGTGGCCGGGACAGGGACATTCATGTACCTTGCTGTGTTCCTTATAGGGAGGCATTCACGATTCCACTGATTCCGCTTGGCCTGAAGGAAACCAAGGACGTTGACTTCTCAGTTGTTCTCAAGGTAAACCTCACAGCGAGGGGCTCTGGACTTGCTGCTTAAAAGGGGAACAGGGAAATTGTGTATCCCCCGCAAGTGGTCGTGGGCTCAATGGGCAGCTGATTCCTGCAGGGTGACCCTGAGCCCCTCGGCAGGCCACCCCAGGAGCCTCGTGCCATCCTCTGGTCACTCTGAGGCTCCTCACCTGCCTGGGGAAGGGGTCTGGACGCCGGGCCAGCCTGCCCCAGGAGGCCAAGTCAAAGAGGGTCTGTGGGGGCCTGCTGTGGATTTTTAAATTGTATCCTATTTTAGTATCTTTTTTCTTAAATGTTGTAACCAATTTAGGCCATGCTTTTGGAAGAATAGTCAGTTTTTTCCCCCAATCTTTTATTCTGAAGATTTCCAAACTTAGAGAAAAATGGAAAGCATTTTGCAGTAACCCCTGTACCCTCACTACCTAGATAACAACCATGAATATTTTGCTCTAGTCACCTCATCACATTTGTCCATCTCTGCATCCCTGTGTCTGTACGTCAATCCATCTTATTTTCTGATGCGTTTCAGAGTAAATCAAAGATGTTGGTTCACTACCCTTACATACCTGAATAGCTCGAGTTTATGAGTCCCCGCCACATCTAATTCCTGGGTATCTGCCTCCTCTTTCCTCTCTCTCTCCTCCTCTCTCTCTCCCCCTTCTTTCCTCCCTTTCTTCTTTTTTTTAAATAACAACTGTATGGAGACATAATTCACAACCTGTACAATCCACCTCTTCAAAGTGAACAGTATCTGGCCTCCTCTTAATTGTGTGTGTCTGGCAAGCAGCCCGTACTTATAGGCCCGCCTGTGCCTGTCACTGTGCTGGATGCTGTGATGTCACAGGCCCTGCCTCTGGGGCCTGTGGTTCAGTGGGGGATTCAGGTGGAAGGTGGGAGATGTGCTTTGACGGAGGCACCCAGGCCGGGGCCAGGAGAGGCTGCCCCCCATGCCTGGCTTGCTTTCCTCTTCCCAGCTCCATCACTCTGAGTTTTCCTGAATCGCCTCAAACTTCCATTTAGGAGGAGAGAGTGGAGACAAAGGGGGAGGTGGTGCCTGTCTCGGAGCTTTCCAGCCCTGGCTTGGTGCATAGGAGTTAATCCCAGCACCGTGAAAAATGCTTCCAAGCATTATGTTTCTTTTCGTAGTAATCCTGTTAGGTGACTCGTCTTGGACTACTTTTAATTTAGAAAAGAAAAAATTATATGACATTTTGGGCACTGCAGAATTTGTTCTTTTAAAAGCCGTTGGTTAATGCTTCAAAATGTCTGCTTCTGACCTCGCTTCTCAAGGAGAGGTTGTGAGTTGGTTGCCATAAGCCCTTTCACGCAGGGCCATTTTGACTGCCGCCGTTTAAACCCAGGTCCTGGCCCTTGTGAGTTTGGGGTTTATTTTGGAGTTTGAGAAGGGCCGTTGGGAGTCTTGCCGGACCCAGGGTTACCAGAGCTTTGATTTTCTGGTTGGGAAACAATCCAGGAGCCGCTGCTGGACACCAGCTTCTCACAGGCCGCCTGACCTTTTAGAAGTGACGCTTGCCACGGGCCCATGAGCCTCAAGACAATCATGTCTGCAGAAATGTCTTTAGTCACTTTTGTAGAATAGTTTCTTTAAGATTTCTTTGTTGCTCAGTGCCAGAGCTGCAAGAGTACAGGCAGTTTAAAGGGAGAGCTTCTCAGGGAAACTTGGGAATTTTATGGGCATCTGTAAGGATCCAAACGTGTCACGTGCTGAATTCCACATTAAAGCCAGTGAAAAAAAAATCACATGTTGTGGGCATGCCAACTGCTATTCATCTGAGGCTTCCAACCATGTCATTTTGGCCTGAAAGGGACTCTACAAATGTCGGTCACACAAAAATAAGACCTTTGGGGGACGTTCTGTTTTCTCCCTTCCACATTTGTGCTGGAGAATAACACAGGTGCCACAGAAGTAGTTTGGCTGACTTAATCAGGGCAGTTCAAGTTGTTTTTCACGTCTGCGTGTGTCTGTGTAATGTTGAATGGCCAGTAAAGCTTCACTGTGTGATTTGGTTCTATTTTAAATAAACGGGCTCTGAAATGGCTTCATTAAAAAGCATCATCAAGATAAAGTCCCTTTTCAGAGAATTCTAGTTGCTTTTTTGCTTTTAAATACAGCTTTATTTATTTATTTTTCTGATTAAGAACAGGATTGCAAAACGTTTAGAAAATACCAGGACGTGTACAGATCCCTCATTGTCCCACCAGCCCTCCCGCCTGAGCTCTGTAACTTGCTCGGCACTAAATCTTTGGATCCTCTGATCCGGGGCCTGCCTCTTGAGGGTGTGCAACTCATCCTGTCCGTGAGGGCTTTGCGTGCTGTCTGCTTTTAGCAGCCCTAAACAAGGTGCCTGTGAACTTCATTCTTTAGGGAGCTTCCAAACACTTGCTGCTGTCAGCAGCCTCCGTGAGCATCTTCGCGCACTTTGCCCCGTGTTCCCTTGGGATACGCTTCTAGGCGTGGATTTGGTAGCTCAAAGATACATGTCACCTAATTACCCACCAGAAGTGGTCCTGCCTCCCCGCTGTGTGTGACTGCTCATCTTCCTGCACCTTTGCTTACACTGGGTATCATTCATTGCTTTGATTTTTTTAAAATATCTTTTTGAGTTTTGCAAAACCAGGCAAAAATGATACATTCCAGTTTGCTTTCTTTGATCAGCACTGGAGGTGAATACATCCTGATGGAGTGTTTATTTGCCCATTTGCTTTTTCCTTTTGGAAATACCTGTTTCTATCCTTTGTCTGCTTTTCCATAGTGGTGGTGGTCTTATTTCCTACGTGAGTTCTTTTACATATGAAGGATTTTAACCCTTCGTTATATATATTTACAAATATTTCTCTCGGTACGTTTTCTCCTTGAACTTTTGTTATGTAAACAATATAAACAGTTAAAAAAGTACAACTTTTTTTGCCATACAAATTTTATATTGTCAAGCTTATGAGTTCTTCCCTTTACAATTCACCTTGATGACATGTTCAGAAAGGTATTCTCCACACCAAGATGACATAAATAGGACTGGCCTGGTGACTCAGAGGTTTAGTGCACCCGTTCAACTTCGGTGGCCCAGGGTTCGCTGGTTCAGATCCCAGGTGCAGACATGGCACCGCTTGGCAAGCCATCCTGTGGTAGGCATCCCACATATAAAGTAGAGGAAGATGGGCACAGATGTTAGCTCAGGGCCAGTCTTCCTCAGCAAAAAGAGGAGGATTGGCGGCAGATGTTAGCTCAGGGCTAATCTTCCTCAAAACAAAAAAAAAAAGATGAGAAATAGTTTGTCCCATTGCTTTGTGATTGTTTAAAATTTTGTAACATTAAGTCTTTAATTGAGGGACTGGCCCCGTGGCCAAGTGATTAAGTTCACGTGCTCCGCTTCGGCAGCCCAGGGTTTCACTGGTTCGGATCCTGAGTGCAGACATAGTACCGCTCATCAAGCCATGCTGAGGTGGCATCCCACATGCCACAACTAGAAGGACTCACAACTAAAAATATACAACTATGTACCGGGGGGCTTTGGGGAGAAAAAGGAAAAATAAAATCTTAAAAAAAAAAAACCTCTTTAATTTAGCTGGAATTTGTTTGGGGGTAAAAAATTAGGTGTAGGGCTATAACTTTTTATTTTCACCAAATGGGTAGCCAGTTTCCCCCGAACTATGTATACAGAATCCATCTGTGGTGCTGGATGGTATCCATTTCCCTCTGTGCCCCCCATCCACTCTCCTCCCTCCTGCTCTGCGCCGGGGGAGGCCGCGGCAGGCTCCTGCTCTGTGGCTCCCTTTTGTGGCTGGCCGAGAGGGAGGAGCAGGAGATGAGAGGGAAAGAGAAGAGGGCAGTCTGGAAATTTATTCCTCCGTTGGCTTCTTTTTGCATTCCTGGTGGCTGTACCTTGGGTAGCCACCTCTTTGGGTTTCCGTAGGTCCTTCTCCCCTTTGATCCTTCACCTGTGGGTTTCTAATGGCTCTGGCGGTCCCACACCCTCCCTGTGGTTTCCCAGAACCCTGCCCACACCACTGTAATAGTCCTGCCCTTAAATTCACATCAGGCTGCGGTCCTGTGCCACCTCCGTCCTGCCTGGACCCGATGGATGCTCCAGCCTTTCCCACTTCTCTGGAATACTGGCTTTTGTTATATACCTGATTCTCGAATCTACTTCAGTCTCTTCCTGATCCGTGTCTGGTTTCATTGTGTGTCCTTTCTCATTGTTTAATCCCTGGGTGTTTCAACAGCAATTCGAGCAAGCCTCCTTTATTACTGTGCTTTTCCAAACGTTCTTAGCTTTTCTTCCACATATTCACTTTCATATTTTGATGAGTTTCCAAAAAATAGTACTTTTGGGTTTTGATTGAAATTTCATTAGAGTCATAGCTTAATTTGGACAAAATTGCATCTTTAGGATATTGCACCTTTTCTCCCATGAACATAGTATTTCCAGTTGTTGATGCCAACAAACAGTAAGTTTTACGGGGGCAGGAGCCATAACTGTCTTGTCAAAAAAATGACTTAAGGAATAAATGAGAGATTGAAGTAACATGTCCTTCCGTAAAGTTTAATTAAAAAGTTATCTGCTTGGGGCTGGCCCCGTGGCCGAGTGGTTAAGTTTGTGCACTCCGCTGCAGGCGGCCCAGTGTTTCGTTGGTTCGAATCCTGGGCGCGGACACGGCACTGCTCATCAGACCACGCTGAGGCGGCGTCCCACATGCCACAACTAGAAGAACCCACAACGAAGAATATACAACTATGTACCGGGGGGCTTTGGGGAGAAAAAGGAAATAATAAAATCTTTAAAAAAAAAAAGTTATCTGCTTAATTAGTTAAATTAATCCTATCCCTAGGAATATTGTACTTTTTTTGTAATTGTGAAACTTATTGTTTCCTGTTATATTTTTCTAACTGGTTACTGCTTGTATAAGAAAGGAAGACTATTGATTTTTATATATTCACTTTTTGTCCACTGTACTGAATTCTTACTAGTTTAGTAGTTTTTCAGTTGACCCTGTTAGGTTTTGTGAATATGTTGTTATTTTGCAAAAATATGTGTATTTTTTATTTCTTCCTTTCTAATGTTTATCTCTTATTTTTCTTAATTCGTTGGCTAGACAACCTTCAGAATTATACTAATTAATAGCAGATGGTAGAAGTCCTTGTCTTGTCCCTGATGTTTATGGTGGGTTTCAACTAGATATTTTTTATCCTACTAAATACATTTAATCCATCCTAGTTTACTAAGTTTGAAAAGTCAGGAATAGATTTAGAATTTATCAAAATCCTCTTTGACTTCTGTGAGGTTAACATAAAGTTTCTCTTTTAACTTCTTAATTGTAATTTCTCTCCTAATTTTAAGGAAATTGTTGCCAGTGTCCACAGTAGAGCTGATAGAACAGCATGCAGCTCTGTAAAGGATACAGTTCTGATCCTCAAGCATCTCCTGAGTGGTGGCCCTTAACACTGCTCTCAGGGATGTCACCAGAGGAGCCTGAGATGAACTCTGTCCTCCAGATCATCCTCACCATAATTAATGTCACTGATAACATAATTACATTTGAAAACCATTTCAAATTATATAAATGGCTGTTATATTTGTTGAGGAGCTGATTCCAAACGTTAGTGCTTTAAGTAAAGTCGTGAAGAAAATCTGTGACAGCATCATAAAAAAAGTTGGATAAAAATGACCAAATTAAAAACCAGAAGGAGGTTTCTGCGTATCCTTGGACCCAGCAAGACATCTTCTTGGAACTTATTCTGAGGAACTAATCAGAGGTGTGCTCAAGGATGACTGTCACGGTGTTATCTCTAATTGCAAAATTTACAAATAACTTAAATGTCCAGCGAGAGGGGGTTAAGACTATCATGGTCCATCTTGGTTAGCACATAGTAGGTAGCTTATTTGTTGAATAAATGAATTATGCATTCATTACATTGGAGGATTATATAACCATGAAGAGTCATGTTAGAGAATATTTTGTGGCATATGAAAATGTTTGATACATTGCCAATTAAAAAAAGCCCGGCAAAGTTGTATATTCACTCAGTAAAATCCCAGAGGGTCTGCGGGCATGTGTGCAGATGGCATTGAACACACAAAAAGCAGGGGGCGCTCTAATGTGGAAAGTGTGTAAAGAGAATACTCCCACACTTGAGAAGACAACTGAGCAGTCTCTGGCCTCAGTGGAGGATGTCATGCAGGAACTCGTCTCCATGCTCCTTATACCACTCTCCCGTTTTCCCTGTAATGCTTGCCATCTGCCAATATACGATGTACTTTATTTATTTTCTGTGCCTGTTACTCACTGGCTGTGCCCCTGGCTAGAATGTAAGCTCCATGGGGAAGGGTCTTTGTTTCGTTCCCTGCTGTGGCCCAAGCAGTGAGAACAGCCCCGGCTCACAGCAGATGCTCCTCAGCACGGCTGTACCACTGAGTAAAGTCCCAGAGCAGTCAGTCATCAAACACGGCTGCTGCCCGGCTGGGGCTCTCACTGGGGTGCCTCACACGTGGACGTGCCCAGAGCTGTTCTCACATAGCTTCCCATCACAGTTCCTGAGGGCAGCACCCTCCTAACCGTCCCCAGACACAAGTTCCCTTTCCTTTGCCAGGAAGACCCTGAGCCAGGTTCTGAGGGCAGCCCCAAGGATGAAGGTCTGAGCCCCAGATGTCTGTGACATCTGCCAGAATTGTTTAATGTGTAGCTCACTTAACCATGTTGCAAAGACATTTTTAAATAAAAAATAACTTCAACTGTCCTTTTTACTGAAGCAACAGAAGCAAAATTTTAAAATATATGTAAAATTAAGAAAATAAATCCTACCACTCAGAAAATCATTGCAGTGTGCAGTCTCCCCTAAATTTTTATGAATTCTCCATGTATTTTTAAAGGAGGGGCACATTAGACCTTACTGTTTTACCTATTTACAGTTTTGTGTGTTTTGGTTTTTTTTTGGTGAGGAAGATTGTCCCTGAGCTAACATCTGTGCCAGTCTTGCTCTGTTTTGTATGTGGGATGCTGCCACAGCATGGCTTGATGGGTGGTGTGTAGGTCCACACCCAGGATCTGAACCAGCGAACCCTAGGCCGCTGAAGCAGAGCACGCGAACTTAACCACTATGCCACAGAGCCGGTCCCCCTATTTACAGTTTTGAATGACATGTTACAGTATCTTCCCTCATTTTTCTTACAGGATTTTATCCTGGAACATTACAGTGAAGATAGCTCCCTATATGAAGATGAGATAGCAGACCTGATGGATCTGAGACAGGTGCGTCTCGGGTGCCGCAGGGAGAGGAGGATGGCTGAGAGCTCGCCGAGTCTTCAGGTTACCCCGTTACTGTGCCTGAAGTCTTAGAGAATCGCCCATGGTTGGGGGTGGCAGGGAGGGGCTGTCAGAACCGTCCCTTCAACTTGCCACATAAGAAGACCACAGAAGGGGACAGACATGCGCACTGGCATGTCGGGCTGGATTCTGAGTCTCCTGAGGTCTTGCCAGCCCTTGCCATCCTTCCTAGAGCTCGCGATACAGCAGCTGGGCCCCAGCTCCACAGAAATAGCGTGTGCAGGCGTCTTCGGGGATGGGACGCGCTGTCTGCTGTGGGCTCACCGCTCGGCGGCTCCTTTCCTTTCAGGCTTGTCGGACGCCCAGCCGGGATGAGGCCGGGGTTGAACTGCTGATGAGTTACTTCACCCAGCTGGGCTTTGTCGAGAGTCGATTCTTCCCGCCCACCCGGCACATGGGGATCCTGTTCACGTGGTAGGTGCCAGTGCGATCCCACCGCAGCCAGAGCTCCGGGGCTCAGCACCAAGGGCTCCTCCGCACCGTGGCCCCTCTCTCTAGTTGGCCATTGACACAGGAGAGGCCAGAGCCGTGCGGATAAACTGGTGTTTATTTATGAAGGGGCTCCAAGGGGAGAAAGCTCCAGCAGACCATAGCTTCTTGCTTCTCAGAACAAACGAGCCAAGGAGGAGGGGCCTTTTTGATGCTCATTTTATCATTGGGGAAACGCCGGGCTCTGAGGTGGAACTAACGAGAAGCGAGATTCTTGGCCCAGATGGGCTAAGGGGTGGGAACCAGGTGTTGTGCCAGGGACAAGGGCAGCACACAGAACAGGTCACATTTAAAAATGGGAGCAGAACGTTGCATTCTTCTCCGGGGTAGGAAGTTTCAGAGATAGTGTTCAAACACCTTGGAGGTGCCGTGCCTCTTCTCTGGGTGTGCTCAGGAGTGTGGGCGCGAGGGCGTACATCCCAACAGTGAAGGGCCGTGGCCAGAGGTAGACTTCACCACAGATGCCTGCCTTTTGAAAGGAAAGGCAGATGACTCTTCGGTTAGCTGTCTGCGCTGGTGAAAGAGCTCTCAGGACGACTTCTCCTCAGTTTCCACTTAGGGAGAACGTCCATGTCTACCTTCTCGGTGATATGTGAACTTTAAAACAGATCCTGAATCTTTTAGGCTGCAGGAAGAATTATGAGGGGTTAGTAACTGCTATATTTCCTTTAGGAGAAGGCTTACTTATTTTTTGGGGGGGAAGATTAGCCCTGAGCTAACATAAATCCTCCTTTTTTGCTGAGGAAGATTGGCCCTGAGCTAACATCTGTGCCCATCTTCCTCTACTTTATATGTGGGACGCCTGCCACAGCATGGCTTGACGAAGGGTGCCATGTCCGCACCCGGGATCCGAACCAGTGAATCCAAGGCAACCAAAGCGGAGTGCACAAACTTAACCACTACACCACTGGGACGGACCCTTATTTTTTTTAAATACGTCTTTTTTTTTTTTGCTGAGGTAGAGTCTCCCTGAACTAACATCTGTTGCCAATCTTCCTCTTTTTTGTATGTGAGCTGCCACCACAGCATGGCCACTGACGAGTGGTGTAGGTCTGCGCCTGGAAACTGAACCCGGGCCTATGAAAGGGGGCATGCCAAACTTAACCACTAGGCCCTAATATGCCTTATTTTTAAGAGCAGTTTTAGGTTCACAGCAAAACTGAGGAAAGGGTACAGAGATTTCCCATATATCCCATCCCCACTGTCAACATCCCCCCTCGATGGTATGTACCTGCCTTGGCACCTCGTCACCCAAAGTCCACAGTTTACACTGGGGCTCACTCCTGGTGGGAATGGTCTGTGGGTTTGGGCAGATGTATAATCACCTATATCCACCATTATAGGATCATGCAGAGCACTTCCACAGCCCTAAAACCCTCTGTGCTCCAGCTGTTCATACCCCCTCTTTGCCCCTCTAAACCTTCAAACCACTGATGATTTTCTGTCTCCATTGTTTTACTTTTTCCAGAATGTCATATAGTTGGAATCACACAGTAGGTAGCCTTTTCAGATCGGCTTTTTTCACTTAGTCACATGCATTTGAGGTTCCTGTGTGTCTTTTTATGGCTCGTTAGCTCACGTATTTTTAGTGCTGAATGATACTGCACTGTACGGATGGGCCACAGTTTGTTTATCACTCAGCTCCTGAAGGACGTCTTGGTTGGGAAGCTTATTTTTGTGTGTGATTGTGGGTGTCTTGGTCAGCATGATCATGCCCATCATCTTGCTTGGGAATGAAAGCCTCGTTGCATGTGCACCTTTGCATTTTATTCAAGAAATCGGTGTTGTCCATTCTCACCCCGAAGTGACATTGATTAGCCAAGTAATCTGCTGCTTTCAACACGTTTCTTTTCAACAGGTATGACTCCCTCACCGGGGTCCCCGTCAGCCAACAGAACTTGCTCCTGGAGAAGGCCAGCATTCTGTTCAACACTGGAGCCCTCTACACGCAGATCGGGACCCGGAGCAATCGGCAGACGCAGGCTGGGCTGGAGAGCGCGGTGGACGCCTTTCAGAGAGCCGCAGGTGTGTCTCCTGGGGGCTGCGGGGATGGAGCACCGGGTACCCCAGCTGAAGAGGGTCAGGGGATCCTCCCTAGGCCCATGCTTGGCCTCACAGGCCTGAGAGGGCCAGACCAGTCGAGCACTGGTGTATCTTCCCACCAAGAGAATTGCTTAATGGCTCCAACCCTGTCATCTCAGTCCAGGTGTGGCTCATACGCACAGTGACTCCTGTGGCTGATTAATCTTTTCCAAATGAGCGGCCCCAGGGATGGCAGTGAATGAACTGTTCCTTTAAACACTATATTGAAGAACAGAATAAATTTTCCCAAATAGTGAAAGTGTAGGCTTTTTCTTTCATCGGGAGTGCCTCATCTGTGCATATTGCTCTCCATGCCTTCATATCATGCTCATTTCATGAAGCTCACCCACCTCAGGTTGCTCTTCTCTGCCCCCTGTCAGGTGACACTTAGCGCCAACCTGGAGAGGACCAGGGGTCGCCAGGCCGGGTGCAGTGGGCGGGCCTGGCTCGTGGGTGTCCAGGGTCCTGCGTTGCTCCCCTCCGACAGGGCCTGTGTCCAGCAGACTTGGCATGGGGGATGGTGGGCAAAAGCAGCAACAGAGCGCAGACCACAGCGTGTTTCTTCTGCGCTGGTCCCCATCACTTTGCTTTGGGGTGTTACTCCCAGCAGAGACCTTTTTGCCCTGCAAGGCCGTGAAGAAGCAGAGCTTTGCCATTTTGGCTAATCGTGGAATTGCTTGTGTTAGAATAATTGGTCCCTCAGGATGAAACAGCATGCTGAGGTTCCTCATGGGAGCCGGTTTCTCCCACTGTCCATCCTTTTCTGGGCTCATCTTTCTTTCTGAGGAATCTTAAGCAGGTATGCTTCGTGACCTGAGATTACAGAGATACAGACAAGTTGAAGCTGAGAACAGAGTGGGAGCACACCCAGAGGGGAGCGCACGGCCTGCCCCTGCCCCGGTGCCTTCCTTCCCCTCTTTCTGCAGGCAGTTTTCCTTTGCAGCAAAACCAGAGGAACCAGTCAGATGGGATTCATGTCGGGGATTTTATTTTAGCTCCAGGTTGATTGTCAGTCAATGCTGTGACAGTTAATTTTCTAAAGCATAAAAAAACTCAGCCGAAGGCTACAGCATGAAAATTCCCATTGGAGTGGGCTGAGATGATCTTTCCGAAGGTCCTGGGGAAAAGCCCTGAATTTGTGAATGACCCGGCCGTCCAGTGTGAGCGTGCCCCCCCCCCACCCCCCCAGAGAGCTCGTTCTGCCTGCTTTCTGCTTTCCCCTCTGTTGTCGAATGCCTAGCATGTTTGGAGTTTCTCACAATTATCCAAGGAGAGACAGGAACGGACAGGGAGCAGGCTGGGTTCCCTGCTTGATACAGATGTGAATGCTTTGGAAGAGAATCCGATTTTGTTTTTTCATCGTGGTAAAACATACATAACAAAATCACCATTTTATCCACTTTTAAGAGTACACTTCATTGGCACGAAGTACATTCATATTGTCGTGCATCTCCCCATCTCCAGAACTTTTTCATTATCCCAAACTGAAACTCTGTGCCCATTACACAGTACCCCTCCATGCTCTCCCCCAGCCCCTGGCAGCCAGCATTCTGCTTTCTGTCTCTGTGAAGGTGACAGTTCCTGGGAGCTATCTCAGTGGACTCACACAATACTTGTCCTTGTGACTGGCTTATTTCACTTAGTGTGTCTTCATCCATGTTGTGGCATGTCAGAATTTCCTTCCTTTTTAAGGCTGAAGAATATTCCAGTGTATGTATCTACCGCATTTTGTTTATCGGTTTATTCATCCGTGGACATCTGAGTTGTTTTTGCCTTCTGGCTGTTGTGAATAATGCTGCTGTGAACGTGAGCGTACAAGTATCAGATTAAGTCCCTGCTTTCAATTCTCTGGGGTGTGTACCTAGGCGTGGAAGGGCTGGATCTATAGTCATTGAGAATCAGATTTTTTTAAGGTGCTCCAGGACACCAGTTTTTTATTTTTGCTTCTATTATTCTCTTTACTTCTGAGCAGCACGGTGAAATAAATATGACCCCCAACAGATGTGCATAAAATTTCCAATTTTAGGAGTTTTAAACTACCTGAAAGAGACATTTACTCACACCCCGAGTTACGACATGAGTCCCGCCATGCTCAGTGTACTGGTCAAAATGATGCTCGCCCAAGCCCAAGAAAGCGTGTTTGACAAAATCTGCCTTCCTGGGATCCGGAACGAGTTCTTCATGCTGGTGAAGGTGGCTCATGAGGCTGCGAAGGTGAGCGTTCCGGGTCCCTGTGACTTTCGGGGTGGGGAGAAGGCGTTGGTGTGGGCCCCCTGGAAGCAGTCAGTCTTCCCATGGCAGCTTGACCCGGGCACCGTGCCCAGCCCCGCCAGAGCGCTGGCTTGCATTTTCTTGGCAAGTACCAGTGTTTCAGATACGGATCACTGATCCCGTCTGCAGCTTAGCTAAAAACCAGCATAATGACAGTTGCCTGTTAACTCTGACACTGACAACACGGGGGCCCTTGGAGTCGCTCCCAGATTCCGGAGCGGCCTCTGGCAGGGGCTGCCACATGGAAGAAAGAGCTCTTTCTCTGCAGCCCAGGTGCTCGAGGGCCCCGTGCCGGGCTCCCCATTCCCAGTATCCCTTCTGTTCCAGGTGGGAGAGGTCTACCGGCAGCTGCACGCAGCCATGAGCCAGGCGCCCGTGAAGAAGAACATCCCCTACTCCTGGGCCAGCCTGGCCTGCGTGAAGGCCCACCACTACGGAGCCCTGGCCCACTACTTCGCAGCCACCCTCCTCATCGACCACCAGCGTAAGGCTCGGGGGCTCAGGCTTTGGGCAGCGTTGCGGTTTTCCTGCCTCGGGGAGATTCTGAGCTCAGTGAGAGCCGCCTGCTTGCCCTGGAAGCCGGGGCAGAGGGAGGGAGTGATGTGCTGGCCCAGGTGTCTGTCAGCGGGTCAGGGATTCGTGATTACATGTTCCCGCTGTGGGAGGAAGACGGGTAGCGGGGTTCTGCCCGGGATGGAGCAGACAGCTTCTTGGAGATGACTTTTCACCTGGAATCTAGAACAGGGCCGGGACCAGGGCTGGGACAAGGGAGGCACGCGCCTCGGGGACAGAATCCAAGGGGGATGCCCCAAAATGCAGAATCAAGATAACATTTTCCTGGAATATTTTAAATGAATCAAAATTCATGCAAAAAAAAATCCACGGTGATCAAAATTTTAAGTAAAGACACTGATCAGTGACAACACTGTGCTGAGCCACATTGGAGCCTGAAGCAAGAAGAAATGTTGCTGTTTTGTTCATCACGGATTTTTTTTGCATTAATTTTGATATTTAGAAAATTACATTAAAATCTCATCTATTTTTATTGCTGAGTTTTTGGCTCCCTTAAATCTTCAGCCTGAGGCGAGTGCCTCCCTCTCCTCGCCCTGGTCCTGCCTCTGATCTGAAGTTGGGTGGGACTTCTGTTGTAATTAGTACTAATCAAGGCAGCCCCTAGAGTAGTTAAAAGGACAACCTCCAGAGCCAGACCGTCTGGGTTCCTGTCTCAGCTCTGCCATTTACTAGCTGTGTGACCTTGGGCAGGTCACTTGGCTGCTCTGTGCCTCATTTTCTCATCTGTAAATGGGGATTTGAAGAGAACGTCCCTCACAGGGCTGTTGTGGAGACTCTGTGCCTGAATGCAGAGCTACCGAGCGCCTTGTCCCTCGTGGGCTGTGAAAGTGTTAGCCGCCACAGCTGGTGTGATGACACAGTCTGCGAGGCGGGCAAGTCGTGTCAACCAGCAGAAGTAACGTGCTTCGGTGTTGCGGCCGAAACACAAACGAGGCAGCAGCGGGACTCCTCGGCGTAGTCATGGGTGGTTTCTTGGAGGGGGTGACATTTGGTTTGGGCTTTGGACTCTGAGGAGGACTGGTCCAGCTGAACAGGGAGGGAAAGCACAGCTAGACAATGACACTGTCCCAGCTCTGGAGCGGAGGCTGGAAGGTCGGAGGTGGTGGTGAGTGGCTTGGAGAAGTTAGGGGGCACATGCAGGGGAGGGTGAGGCATGGAGGCTGCCAGGGCTGTGAGGTGGGCTCTGCTAGGAGGTTCCAGGAGGTGGGCGACTTGGAGGAGGGAGAGAGTGGGGGCTCAGAGCCGAATCGTGAGCCCCTAGAGCGTGCCTGGCCCAAGCGCACAGACATGTGGCTGGACCGCCTGGGGTGTGTCCAGCGGGGAAGGGAGCCTGTTGTCCCCAGTGCCTGTAAACCTGGAAGATAAGGGGAGCCAGCCATGTGGCTGACAGAGAGAGCTCTCCGTGGGTGTGCGGCACCGTCTCCTGAGCCTGTGCTGCGCAGCCACGAGAAAGGATTCATCTGTGGTCTCGTTGCAGTGAGCCCTGGCGCAGACGAGGACCACCAGGAGAAGTGCCTGTCCCAGCTCTACGACCGCATGCCGGAGGGACTGACGCCCCTGGCCACGCTGAGAAACGGTCACCAGCGCCAACAGCTGGGTGCGTGCGGCTCTCCTGCCCCCTCCCTCCCCGTGCCCATTCGATGGCCAGCTGGTCCTGCTCATGGACAGCCCCAGAGAGGTCCCCAGGGCTTGGAGAGTAGGGCGTCCTGAGTCATCGTGGCCACTCTGGATTCAGAAGCCATGAGGCGCAGTCTCTAGCCTCAGGGGGCTTCCAGAGCCGTGTTCTCACGGGTTCCTCGAGGGCCAGGCCTGGCCTCCCACAGTGGAGCCAGAGCTTTGACAGTCGTCCCCAGTGTCCGGGGCATGGCCCCTGGCCATAACGTGGAAGGACACATTGGTTAATTTTCTTTCGCCGTACCCAAGGCCTGGTAATGAATTGGTTCGTCTCTGCCACATCTCAGAGCGAATATCGCTTTCTGTGTGCAAAGCTGACTTCCTCCACTGCTCAGACCCGCCCCCCACCCCCAAACACAGTTTCGCTGTCTCAGTGATGGCAACTCCATCCTTCTGGGCGCGCAGGCCAGAAACCTTGCACGCGCTTGCTGCTCTTGTCTGTCTTTCTCACCCCACGTTTGATTGGCAAATCCTGTTGACTCTATCTAGAAGACGTTTCCCAAATCCAGCCACTTCTTACCTACCACCCTTGTCCAAGCCATACTTATACATTGCTTGCTTACCGAACGTCGACTCCCTTACCCCTCATGCGACCCTGTGAAGTGGGTGTGTATGGTCCCCATTTTTCAGTTGGGGAAACAGAGGCCAGAGGGATCATATGGCCTCCCGTCTTTTCGCAGTGGCCACAGGGCTGGTCTCCCCGCTTTCCTCTTTGCTCCTTCACTCTTTTCGCTTGGGTCAAATCACATCAGCCCTCTGCTTGCACCCTGCTCGCTCCCATCTCACCCCACTAGGAGCAGAAGTCCTCACCCTGCACTTGTGAGGTTGGGCATGGATTGGCCCCTGCTCCTTTCTGGCCTTGTTCCCTACCCTTCTCTCCAGCCCTCACTCCCTCCACTCACACCCCCAAGCTCCTTGTTGTCCTTGAACACACAGGCAGGCTCCTGCCCCAGGGCCTTTGTACCTGCTGTTCCTGCTTTCAGGAGTGCTCTTCTATCAGATATCCTTATGGCTGCTCCCTCACTTCCTTCAGGACGTTGCTCAAAAGTTACCTTCAATAAGGCCTTCCCCGTCACCCGTCATAGAGAGAAGCTTTCCATTCCCAGTCTTCCCTTGCCACCTCTGCCTGCCCTGCTTTATTTTTCTCCATAACCTTGTTGTCATGTGATTCGTTACGTATTTCTTTGCTTGTTAATTCTCTGTCGTCAACCACAAGCATGGAAACTCCGTGAATACAGAGGCTAGTTTTTCTTCATTGCTTTCTCTCTAGTGTCCAGAACTTTCGGTAAATATTTGCTGAGTGAATGTTTTATAGACACAAGTGAGCACGTTGCATGCACATTTAAGAGGGATTTAAACCGTCCAGGCAGATCCTTCAGGAAAGAGAATGTCCACCTTCCTGGGCTGACCCGTGGGCGCTTCGGCTCTCCTGGGCACTCACGTTGCAATTTCGGACGCAGGTCACATGGTGTTGATTTTCGGTTGGCAGGCAAGTCCCACCTGCTCAGAGCCATCGCGCACCACGAGGAGTCCGCGAGGGAGGCGAGCCTGTGCAAGAAGCTCCGCAACATCGAGGTGCTGCAGGAGGTGCTGTCCGCCGCGCACCAGCGCTCCCGGCTCAAGTACGCGCAGCACCAAGAGGACGGTGACCTGCTCGACTTGGTCGAGGCTCCCGACATCGTTGGTGAGTGAGCTGGGCGCCCGTGTGTGCAGAGGGCGTGTGAGGCGGGGCCGCCCCGGGTGCACAGCCTTGACCTGCTTGTCCTGCAGGGCGTGGGCCACCCCCGCTGTGTGCTTGCCTGGGAGCGGGCCAGGCGCTGCTCGCCCTGCCATTCCCATCTCCTCTTCCCTGAAGCCAGCGGCTTCCTTATGGCCTGTGTCCTCATCAACCCCTTTGCAGCATCCGACTCCCCTCGTGCCCCTCGACACCCCTGCCTTGGTGTCGGGGTGCCCTGCCAGCTTGGTTCTGCTCCCACCTCCCTCTGCACCCCCTTGGCTGACTCTTCTTGCCCAAGCCCCCCCATCCCTCCTGGCATTCTCCAGGGACTACTCTCCCTGGTTTGCTTCTTCTAGATTCCTCTCCTTAAAGCCTCACAACCTCCTTAGGGGTTCCAGCCGTCACCTCTAGTCAGGGGACTCCTGAAACTACCTTTGGCCTTGAGGTTTTTGCTGGGCTCCACACCCACCCACATTCCATCTGCCTCCTGGGAAACCCTCACATCACAGGTTAATAACGCAAAGGGGGCAACGCCTCGCCCAGGACTTTGTGCTGAGGGACAGGGCACCTGCGTAACAGCCACACCTGGCATGTAGATGACGCCTCAGGAGGGTTTCATGAGGGCCAGAGGAAGTCCACTGGCCTGTAAACAAGCTCCTGGAAGGCAGGAAGTGTCTGACGGTCACTTCTCTGCCCCAGCCTCAGAGCGGGGTGTGGCTCATAGCAGGTGCCCAGGACAGGTCACGCCCGGCCAGGGGCTGCCCCGTAGTTCGTCTTCTGCACTACTTGTCTAAACCAAAGGGCAGGACCAGGGAGTAGGAGGAAAGCTCGCTTCCTCTTCCCTTCAGAAGGAAGACTTCGGCCTGAGTTGTCAAGGGTAACTTCCAATTATGGAAACATTTATGCTTTCACTTTTCATCTTCTTTTCCAGCTAAAACTGAGCAGGAGGTTGAAATTATACTTCCACAGCTCTCCAAGGTGACAGCAGCTGACTTCTTCCAGAAGCTGGTATGTCAAACGCTTATTTCATAATGACCCAAGGGGACAGCTTTTATAAGGTGCACGTATGTAAGAGGCTATTTTTAGATATTTTTTAATTAGATTTTATATAAGATAATTTTAATTAAGATTATATTATTCTATTTTATTATTATTTTTTTAAGATTTTATTTTTCCTTTTTCTCCCCAATGCTCCCCGGTACATAGTTGTGTATTTTTAGTTGTGGATCCTTCTAGTTGTGGCATGTGGAACGCCGCCTCAGCATGGCCTGATGAGCGGTGCCACGTCTGCACCCAGGATTTGAACCGGCGAAACCCTGGGCCGTCAAGGCAGAGCGCACGAACTTAACCACTTGGCGACTTGGCGACGGGGCCAGCCCCAAGATAATTTTAAAAGGATAGCTTTATTTGAAATAGATGCGCTCCTGTAGAGAAATGGCAGTTCACGTTCTCGTATGAGTGCTGTAGTGTATATTCTCTGAGCAAGGTCGGGTGAAACTTGCAAGGACGTCCTCCCTTTAGTTTTCAAATGCCCGATTCAGCCTTCAGACCCTACACCTAATGATGCTCTCTTTCGAAGGGCCCCTTATCTGTGTTTTCGGCTAACAAGAGATGGACACCCCCTCGAACTCTTCGCTTCACTGCAGAAGAAGGGGACTTGGGGTTCACCTTGAGGGGAAACTCCCCAGTCCAAGTCCACTTCCTGGATCCTCACTGCTCCGCTGCGGTAAGCAGGGACCCTTCTGGACGTCTGGCATCTTTGCGGGCAGGCAGACTGGTAAAATACAAAGAAAGCTGCACAAACAGAGAGATCCGGCTGAAGGAATTCAGGGTTCCTTTAAGTAAAGGCTGACTTTATGCAAAAGGCCTCTCATGGTGCTACGTGCCCCAAGAGGAAAGGATTAATGTTTGCTTTCTTGAAGCACACGTAGACAAACATCTGTTTTGTTAATGAACTTGGGAACTGATTCAGGCATTTGAATGAACAGAACGTTGACCTTTCTTTAAATCACATTTTTGTAGCTGGCAGGAGCCAAGGAAGGAGATTATATTGTTTCCATTCAAAACGTGGACTGTAAGTGGCTGACGCTGAGCGAGGTCATGAAGCTGCTGAAGAGCTTTGGTGAGGACGCCATTGAGATGAAGGTTGTGAGCCTCCTGGACTCTGCCTCGTCCATGGTGAGTGCTGACACCCCCTGGCAGGAAATAGTGATGCGGAGTGAAGGCGGTCTTTACCGGGCCCTGTGCCTCCTGCCTGCATTTGTAACATGCCACACACTGAATTCCTAAGCTCTTCATCGGTGGGATGTGCTCACCTTGGGTCAAAGAGATTATTGGAAAACTGTTTTGTTTTTTTTTTTTTTGGTGAGGAAGATTGGTCCTGACTAACATCTGTTGCCAATCTTCCTCTGTATCCTTTTTTCCCCCAAGGGGGAGGAATCGTTGCAGACATACTCTTCGGCTCTTTGCCACATTTAATGATGTATCTTAGATGTTTCCCTTGGTAACAAGTTTCCTTTATTCCTTCAACAAATGCTGGCTGAGCCTCAGCTGTGGGCCAGGCCCTTCTTAGCATTGGAGCTGCAGCTTGATCTAATCAGATCAGCTTCCTGCCCCCACAGAGCTGGCCCTGAGTAAGCAAATAAGTAGTTGTGATTTTGCTAAGTGTGTAAAGAAAAGAAAACGTGTAACCTGATAGAATGACTCGGGGTGGGAGGTGTAACCTGATAGAATGACTCGGGGTGGGAGAGGCCCCTCTAGACTTACGCTGAGATTTGAGTGACGGTGAGGAGCCGGCCATTTGAAGAGGGCCAGGGGAGCATCTGGGCAAGGCAGGGGGACCGACAGCTGCAGAGACCCTGTGGCAGGAACAAGCTTCTCCTGCCAGAGGAACAGAAACAGGGGCTCCTGGCTGGAGCTTCCTGACAAGGGAGAGAGTGGCAGGAAGGGAGGTGGCAGGGAGGCACGGCCACATTTGAGCGGTGGGAGTTTGGAGGCCGTTGAACCTTTTAAGAAGGGGAATGACGTGGTATGGTGTTTATTTTAGGAGCAGGTCTGCTGCCTGGAGGCTGACCGTGCGGTCGTCCGGGCCAGCGGCGCTGGCAGCTTACACTAGCGCAGGTGACAGGACGGGACAGAGGGGGATGCGCCAGAGACATGGTTTGCAGGTAGAGCTGGCAGGGATTTGTAGAGGACTGCGTAAAAAGATGGTAGAAAGAGAGATGGCTTGTCAGGTTTTGGTGTGAACAGCTGCATCATTTTCCCTAATGACGGGAGCAGCGGTGAGGGAGACAGCGGAGAGAGAACCCAGGAGCTATGTCAGTGTTTCACATACGTGTCCAGGTTCAAATCTTCAGTTCAATGGAGAAGGCAGAGCTAGAAATAAGTATTTGAGCATCATCGGCATAGAGATGATGTCTAAAGCTGCAGAGACTAGAGGACACTCCTGCGCCGGCTGAGGGCTAGGACGGAAGCCTGAGACCCCGGCGTCTGGAGGGCAGTCAGGAGAGAAGGAGGCGCAGAGAAAGTTGTCAGGGAGAGCTCTGGGAGGGAGGGTGAGGGGAGCTTCTGAAATCTAGAGGAGAGTGGTGGGTGGGGTTGAATCCAGTTCAGAGGCGGAGAATGAGGGCGGAGCCGGCTGTCTTCTGTTTGGCAGCAGGACAAAAGGACACTTGGTGCTGAGATGGCAACAGAACTTAGACTAGAGAGAGTTGGAGAGTGAATGGACTGTGAAAGGCCCTTGATAAGAAATCCGTAGAAACTGAATGTAGATTAGCGGTTGCCTGGGGCTGGAGCTGGGGCACTGGGGAATGGGGAGTCGCTGCTGCTGGGTGCAGGGTTTCCTTTGAGGGGGATGGAAGTGTTCTGAAATTAGGTAGTGGTGGTGCCCAACTCTGTGAATATACTAAAAAGCCCTGAATTGTATTAAAAGGGTGAATTGTATGGTATATGAATTATATCTCAATTAAAAAAAAAAGAGGGGCCAGCCCAGTGGCGCAGTGGTTAAATTCTCATACTCCCCTTCAGCGGTCTGGGGTTCACCAGTTCGGATCCTGGGCATGGACCTATGCATCGCTTATCAAGCCATGCTGTGGCAGTGGTCCCACATACAAAGTAGAAGAAGATGGGCACGAATGTTTGCTCAGGGCCAGTCTTCCTTAGCAAAAGAAGAGGAGGGTTGGCGGCAGATGTTAGCTCAAGGCTAATCTTTCTCAAAAGTTAAAAAAGAGATAAAGAAGTCAAAGGACTCACAGAGCACCTTGGGAGAAAGGAGCCTAAGAAATGGTACTTTCAGGAGCGGAATCCATACCATTGCTGGACAAGTGATGAAGGTGCCATCCAGAAACGGAAAAGAAGTTTGTCCACATAAGGATAAAGAAAAGAATGGGCTCTGGACTGAGGGCTGGAGTAGGGGGCACAGCCAGGGGGCGTGGCCTTGCAGAGCAGGCCTGCCCCCTGGAAAGAGATGGAAGGGCTTATCTTTCAACCCCATCATGTCTTTGAACCAGGACAATGAAGAATCTGAGTCCTGTTAAATGCAAGGATTCTATACTCAGATTGCCTGGATTTCACCCCTGGCTTTCCCACCAGTTGTGTGACCTGAGGCGTCAAGGAACAGCCCTGAGCCTCAGGAAAATGGGAGGACGGTTGGGTTCATGATAGGTGCTTTATACTGATAACTGTGATGTGGCTATTCTTTTCACCCAGCAAGGACTTTAGATAATGACAACAGAGCACTGTTTTTAACTGCCAAGCCTTTTCTTCAAACAAAACCAAATAATGAGAACAATGAAGCCCAGTGCTCGAGCTAAATTGTTACCTGCTGCCCCACTCTCTCTGGATTATGGTGGGGTCCCTAGTACTCCTCCACGGAGCACATTTTGAATACTACTGGTGTAGTGGGAAGAATCCAAGAGCTGGAATCCGGCCCTGTCTGCTCTGGATAGGCTGTGTGAGCTTCCACAGGTTAATACCCTCCCTGGGCCATTTCTTCATCAGTATAATGTAAGAGGTAGACTAGTGCAGTGGTTTCACACTGTGTTCCATAAAGCCCTGAGAGTTCCCGAGAGGTGCCCCGGGAAGAGGGTGGGGAGCATGCTGGATGAGGACAGGAAAAAAAAGTGAACGAGCAGGGAGGAAAACTGGGAAAGGGAGCAGAGATGTTGGGGTGGTAGCTGGGAGGGGGGACATAGGGAAAAGGAGAGCTTTTCAAAGAAGGCGGGCTGTGTGTGTGTGTGTGCTGGTGGGAAAGGTCTGGGAGACAGGCGTGCAGTAAGGAGGGGAGACCTGGAGGAGAGAGGGATTGAGATCCAGGCACAGAGAGGCACTTCAGTTTGGGGACAGATGCAATTAAGTATAAGGCAAGGATATCAGGTAGGAGGGGCTTGAGAGAAGGTATCTAGAAAAGGAGTGAAATACTAGGGAAATGTAGGCATGCCAGGTAATGGGGCTGCCCAGCAGAGGTGTAGGGGTCACGGTTAGAAGGGAAGCCAGTGGCTTGAACACCCTCCAGTAACGTGCATAGCCAGCCCTGGGGGTCTGGTGGGTAAGACTGGCTCACTCTGGCCGCAGCAGTCCGGGTTCACTTCCTGGTCGGGGAACCATACCATCCATCCGTCAGTTGTCATACTGTGGTGGCTGATAATCGCCTCGATGGCACTAACAGAAATGCACATCTGTTGGGATGCAGCTCGGACAGGCAGGGTGGAGTGTTGCTGGCTGGAGTATGGAAGAGAATAGAGGGTGTTTGTAAGGGAGTGGTTAGAAGGATGCTAGACCGACTCTCAGCAGGCTAAGGTTTGGAAAACGTTTGCAGGCATCAAATCTACCTCCAGGACTGTTTGTTTCATGATTGCCTTTAATGATGCTGTGTGTCCTGTAGAGCACGGTGGGATTAATGGGCAGTTTCATAGAAAAAGGAGAGGCATCTTAATCCAAAGGAGCCAAACTCAGGAGGGACCTTTTCTGATGGATACCCCTTCTCTATGCTGCCTCCCACTATGGTCCCACCCACTTTAGATCTCTCGTGGGTGTATTTATATAAATGGCCTGATTTCAGTGCCTGGAACCTAGTAGATATCAATAAACATTGGTGAAAAGAGCAGTCTCAGGGTTAGGCGAACCTTAGAAGCAGGTGGTAACCCACTAGGAATGTCTAGAAAGCAGGTTTCTTCAGATTTCCTATTTGAGTCCTACTCAATCCTTTAAGAGTTCTTAGTAGTGTTTAATGGGCATAGGGTTTCACTTGGGGAAGATGAAAAAGTTCTGGAGAGGGATGGTGGTGACGGTTGTGCGACAGTGTGAATGTACTTAAAGCCACGAGCGGACACTTAAAAATGGTTAAAATGGCACATTTTATGTTATGTATATTTCATGAGTTTAAAAAATAGAGAAAAAAGTTAACAGTATCTTCACTGTGGATTCTAGATTGTCTTTAAAGAGGGTGAAGTTGATCTGTACCTACTGTGCGAACTGAAATCTGAATACATTCAGTGAAGAAAGCAGGGTGCAGACCAGTGTGTGTAGTGTATTCCTTTTAAGACAAATGGTGACGTGGACTTACACACGTGTCAACACCCGTATAGGAATGTTCCCTCTCAAAGTGTAACAGGAATAGTGGTTACCTGAGGGGAGGCCCTGTGGAAGCCAACGTGGGAGGGACACCTGCTGTTCCCTGGGTGTGTTTTCATACTGTTGACCATGAGTACGTATTGCTTTTTCAAATAAGAATCCTAAAAAGTGAGTAGTGGTCCCTAGCCTCAATTACTACTACTGAGTATTATTCCTTACAAATTGTCCTTGTTCTTAAGAACCTAATTCTATGTAAGTGTTGGTTGCCCGAGGTTCAGAATTCTATCCACTTAATTTTAAAGAGGATGCTATAATTGCAGCATGTGCGTCTCAGACTTGGCAGGCATTTATCAGATGTCTTGAGGATTTCTAACATCCTTTTTCTTCTTCTACGTGCAGCATAGTAAGAGTGCTACATACTCTGTGGGAATGCAGAAGACCTACTCCATGATCTGCTTAGCCATAGATGATGATGATAAAACTGATAAGACCAAGAAGATCTCGAAAAAGCTTTCTTTTTTGAGTTGGGGCGCCAACAAGAACAGACAGAAGTCAGCCAGCACCTTGTGCCTCCCGGCGGCAGGGGTTGCGAGGCCTCAGGCCAAGAAGAAGCTCCCGTCTCCTTTCAGCCTCCTCAACCCCGACAGTTCCTTGTACTAATGTGAGGGAGCAAAATGTTCAGGCCCAGGACATTCCTGTGCTGACGAGGCCTTCCGATTTGTGCCATAATGGGACATTTCTAAACATTCTCAAATCCTGTTTTTCTCACAGCGTAAACTTAGAATTGATATGTCTTTATGAACGAAAGTAACTAGAAACCTCTAGAATTGTGGAAAACAAACTTATTTGGGGAGTGTCACCATATTGCTGCAAGTTATTTATTATATAAACTATTTACGTAAATACAATAGTGTTGAAAATATAACTATTTTTAACAGCTACAATTCTGACCTTTAGTTACTAGTAGAATTAAATTGGGGTTACCTATATTTGTACGTTTCCACATTTGGATAACAGATCGTTCCTTAACTCAGAGTTCAGATGACCTCAAATTAAGGCAGGTCAAGGGACTATAATGACAGATGTAAATTAGTGTTACCAGAAACTGTTCAAAGAGCTGCTTCCTAAGGGGGGCTTACTAACCTAAAACGACAAGACTTTACTATTATCTCTACGTAACAGGAATGCTATTTCCAGGTAAAGTCTATAGAGTGCCAAATTTGCCATGACTTGCTAGATTAAAAAACCGTTGAGGAAGCAGCTTTTCCCCTAGTTTCATGTCATTTAAAAGTTGCTAACACAGTGGCAGTGTTAGATGAAGATGCTGTCTACAAGGTAGATAATATACTGTTTGATACTCAAAACATTCTTCATTTTGTTTAAAGTAGAAGGTACATAATTGTATATTTTAAGAGTCTTTCATGTGGGTTAAAAACATTTTATAAGATAAAGATATGTGATTCAAGTTTAAAGCTCTATTTGACTTTTTAAAATGACATTCTTACTATGGGATTTCTCTTGCTACGTGTTGGATGACACTGTGATTCTAATAAGAGTCACTGTTGACACAGTACAAGTTATATATAGCTACAAAAATAGAGCGCTGAAATCTAATTTTGAGAATTAACAAGAATTTAAGTATTTTCTAGTGTGCAATATCAAAAGGGAAGCACCCACGTTTGGGAAAGTCTATTCACTGCTCTTAGGGCTATTTTTGTATAAATATTTAAATAAACACATGCATTTGCCTGAGTTAATGTGTTTCACTTTTATTTCACTTTAATTGCCTTCTCTTTCAAACTGTTTCTACCCTAATGCTCAAAATGTTTTTATTGTGTTTGATTTTTTTAAAAATTACTAACACCTCACAAAACAGGACTTAAAGAGCTTTCAAGTTATTTCGTTTCTGTAATTGTATTTCTTTTTTGAATGGGCAGCTGTACCTCTTCACCCCCGGCTCCAGCTGTCCTCTGGATGCAGCCGTCCCTGCCATCTTCCTGTACGTCTTCCCACTGTTGGGCTCTGCATTTACAAACACATTCTTTTCCTCCCTCACACACACAGCTTTTTATCTTTAAATGGGGACTCCAAACTTCAGGCTTTCTGTGTTCAGGAGACGTGCCCAGTGACCATAAACAAACTGTGCAGCCACCAGGAAGGGAGGGAGGGGGAGCGGAAGGGAGGGAGAAAAAAGGCGGTACAATTGTGTATTTACACTGGCAGCAGCCCTCAAAGCACAGGTCTATTCATTCAGACCAGCCCTGAAGAACTGTGCCTCTGCCTCCAGGAACAAGGGGCTTAGGGTACACAGTGCTCCGTTGTCGGTCTGTGTCCTTTACATGGTCACATCCACCACCTGAAACTTGGTAAGACCTTTCCATGATAGATGCAGGCCAAGGTCACACGTTAAAATCTGTCCAAGCTGGCTTTCTGCTGAATCTGAGAATTCCTAATTAAACCGACGCTCTTGGGAGCATCTCTGCCGGCCCTCTTCATGCCAGCAGGACGAGGGCAGTGCCATCGGGGCCCGCTCACTCGCATGCCTGAGCCCGGAGAGCAGGGCGAGACAACTGGCAGGTGCCGTGCAGGCCGCACCTCATCTTTCACTAGTTGCTGTGAGAGGAAATCTTGTTTCTTGGTCTTTCAATCTGAAAAAACAAGATCCTGTTGTTTGTGTCTAAAGGAGAAATCAGTGGACGCCACGAGAAGAGCCGTCAGCTGGACTGCGTGAAGAAGCCGTGGACGTGCTGTGCCACAGCCGGCCCCACCACGGGCTCCAGGTCTGGGACGGAAGCGTTACTCAGCTGCTGGATACTTGGGAACTTCTGGAGCAGAAGGACAGCTTTCGTTTTCCCAACTCCTGGGATCTGTTGCACAGTTCGAAGGAGGGACAACTCTGAGATCAGAGGCCGCTTCTTCCTGAGAAAAGGGTTCTTACTGGGCTCTTTGGCTTGCTCTTGAACCTGAACCGAAATTAAAGGAAGAGCATGTGAGCGCCCTCTAGAGGACTGGCAGTTTTCTTAAAAATTTGTGGAAATTTAGTTCTTCCGTTTGGTTCAGCTTGACTTACCGCTACAAATGTTTTCACATACCATGAATATAATTTTTCAAACACCAACAAAATTATTGAAAGATGAACCATATGACTACACAGAAGAGTAAGAGATAAAAATTAATTTACAAAAACTTGAGATTTCAGAATGCTTAGGATAAAACCAATGAAAACATAGTCTGAGGAATTCAACCACGTGCCTATGGTCCACTAAGAAACATTTCAGTTGTATGGGATTAAACGAAGGCTCTACCTAATCTGGACCTGCCTAATCCAGGGCCTGGAGGAAGCTATCAAAGGAGAAACCCAGTGTTCAGTTAGCGGTGGTTATGGGATGTGGTGGAGAGGGATCTGTGAGCCACACAGGGCTGCCTGCATTTCCAATTTGGTCCTCAACCCTAATTACACATCAAAGGGAGAGATTTAAAAACAACACAACAACAAAAACAGGCTCAAGCCCGACCCCCACGTTCTGATTTTCAATTGGTCTGAGGTAAGGCTCACGCATCACTATTTCTAAAATTTCCCCAAGAAATTCTAAAGTACAACAAAGCTGAATAATCAGGAGAATGAAGAACCAAGTTTAAAATGAAAAAAAAACCCAAAACAAACTTGAGCACAAAAGTGCTGATGCTTCATAAATGATATGCGGGGATGAGGCAAAGCAGATGGTAGTTGACACTGTCACCAGCATAAGTGAAGAATAATGAATGATGGAGCCAGCACAGCCTGGGCATCTGAAATCAGGTCTGCAACTTGTTCACTTTGTTATCCACTTGCCTAGAATGGGCGGCAAGCTCAGCTGGCTGCAGAGGCAGCTTCTGAAGTTCAAGTCCTCTAAAAGCTTTTATAAACCAACACAGGGAATGACATGGATCAGCCTGACGGATAGCATCTATGGTAAAGGCAGCTGCTGGAGTAAAGGACCCACGAAGGCCAGGCGAGAGCCCGTCAGGCAGGGCTATCGTGGAGGAGCGGGAATGAGTACTTACTAACTGGACAAGGAGGCAGGATGCTTCGGTCTGGCTGGCCACTGGAAGCAACACCATCCCGAGATCCAGCACAGTGAACTTCTGCATGGCGGGGAAATACTGTTCACTCATCTGCGTTTTTTCAACTACTACAATCCCTTGAAGATTACTGGACTTCAAAGAAAAAAAACCAACCAGTAAACCATTTTGTAACAAAATTGCTTTCAAGATTAAGCTCTTGGAATGACCAATGGTTTTATATCAATTATTCCAAGGAATAATGGGGGGGGGGGGTGGAATAGAAGCCAATTTTCAATTTTAGTTTCTTTTTTTTAACGACTGGCACCTGAGCTAACAGCTGTTGCCAATCTTCCTTTTTTTTCCTTCTTCTTCTCCCCAAAGCCCCCCAGTACACAGTTGTATATTCTAGTTGTGTGCCTCTGGCTCTGCTATGTGGGACACGGCCTCAGCATGGCCTGATGAGCGGTGCTAGGTCCGTGCCCAGGATCCAAACCGGCGAACCCCTGGGCCGCCCAATCAGAGCACGGGAACTTAACCACTAATTAACCGGCCCTTAATTTTAGTTTCTTTAATTCAGTACTTACATTTCTAACCCGAACAAGCCTCTTTCTGTAGCCGTTTCCTGCCACCAAGTCAGCTTCCGTGACATAAAGAATGCAGGATCTGCTGGACAAGTAAAAATCTACAGGTGTCAGGTCAGCCTCAAAAACGAGTTTTATTTTCCCTTAAAATACAGACAAGAAAGGGAGTTCCGTGAGCTTCGGATGAAAAGGCCGCAAAGGGGTAGAATGTTTTTAAAAAGTGGGGTGAGGAGAGAGAGGGTGTATGCAGAGGGCAGCCCACCGACCTTGCATCTCCTGCGCCAGCTGCGACCCGCGCCACTTCTCGTTGGCCACAATGTGCCCAAAAGGCACGTGCACGGGGCCTCTGCCATCAGCGGGCTTCCCTGCCATCGGCGGCCTCGATCTGACGAGGGGAACGCAAGACGGCACCTGAGCAGGCTCTCCCGCACCCGGGCCCACAGTCCACGCCAAGCCGGGGCCTCTGTGGCAGGCGCCCGCCTGCAGGGGGCTCTTTAACAGACTGAATTATCTGCCAAAAGCTCAGAAGCAGGAGATGCCTGCCCTGGCAGCCGCGTCCCTCATTTCCGGCACCTGCCTGGCCCCTGAGACCCCCGCCCGGTCCGCGCAGTGGCTCCTCAGTCCAGCCCAGGGCGCGGGCTGAGCCAGCAGGAGCCCTGCCTCGGGCCCGGGCTCGGGGCTCCGCAGACATTACCTGCGAGGGGCCACTTCCGCGTCCCCCCCCCCCCCCCCGCCCCGCCGCAGGCCCAGTCCTTCGTCCTGCCCGCCCTCCGCCTCCCGTAGCGCCGGATAGGCTATGGCGTCAGAGAGCGACACCGGATCTGACCAATCAGAGGACGGACAGCACGTACCGTGTCCGCCCTGGAGAGGATTTGAATGGGACACGCTGGTTGCCACGAGCGACGGGTATGAAGTAACCTTGGTTCTGATTGGCCGGCGAGAAAGCAGAACCAATGGCAGACGTGGTGGTTGCGAAGTCCAGTGGGTAGAGAAGGCGTCTGGGACTAGGCCGGCGGGAGCCGAACAGGCTTTAGGGAGCGGTTCTGGGTTCGGCGATCGGCTTGTCCGTCCAGCCCTGGTCTAGTCACCTCCCGAAGCAAGGATGCTCCTGGGATTTCGGAGAGGCCGCAAGAGCCAGTTTGTGAGTAGATCCTCTGCCGGCCTGCGCTCTGGCCCAGGGGCCGGGAGTTAAGAGGGGAAGGGTCAGGACTTGGCTGAGATTGAGGGAAGGTAGCCGCACGAGAGGAAGTGGTTTTCCGTTTGACAAGCCCTGATTTTTCGTATTCTAGAGAATCCTTTATCCCAAAGTCGGCCTCAGTCGGACAGGAACCTGTCCCTGTCTCCGCTGCAACATTCGCTCCCGTGTCGGGGGGTTCACTCCTGCCTGGCCCAAACCTGCTCCACTGCCAGGTGTCCCCAACGGGACGTCATTCTTGGTTCCTGCCTCCGCCATCCACCACACCCCATCAGCAAGTTCCCTGGATTCTACCCACTTGACTCCAACAGTCCCGTTGACACCCCCCCCCCCCTCCGACGCTCCCCATCTGTTGATCTTACCAATGTCCTTACTGCCCTTGTTTCCAGCCCTAATTTCTAATTCCACGGGACATCATTACAACCACTCCCCACATACACCTCAACCCCGTTGCTCCTCTCTCTGTTCCATACTTGCCTGGCGAACTCCAAACCTACTTACATCCAGTTCTCCATAAACATAATACTTGAAATGCAGAGAAAGCATTGTGATAAGGGCACTCCTGAATTCTGTTTGAAATCGAGGTTAGAAAGCATGTCTGACTTGATTTCCTGTTCTCAGCCCTCCCACCTGCTGTAGTCATCTTAGGTGGATGTTGAGAAGCAATGGAGACATAGCTGAAGGATATTTTTGCATTGCACTTTTGCTAACTCAGCATGTTTATTGAGCTTTTTATTGCATTATTGAGTTCCGACTGTGTGCCTGATACCAACAATTGATTGACAACCTGTGGCCACACCGTCTAAAGGATAGACAAACCCATAAGTAATTCAGCACAACATGGTAAGGCGAGAACTGCCGTAGAGGCGTGTACCAGGGAAGGGGCAGCAAAGTCAGTCTGGAGAGTTCACCTGGGCCCTGAGGGGGAGTAA